TTTTACTTTTAAAAAATTGCTCTTACAGTCTGCAAAAAATAATAAGCGGGATCCAATTCGAAGATTAAGGAACAACGCAATCATTAACATTAACTGAAATAGATAATTAGATAATTTTAGCTTACACCGTCCGTTATACATTAAACGCGCAAGCGAAAACGTATTCTGCACTTGCGCACACGCATATGCGCAGTAGTCAAGGTCTTACGCGCACGCGTAAAACGCCTGTGCGCATGTGCCAACGCGGCGCATGCGCAGAAAGTTTTTAGCTTTGAGGTCCGGATTATGGGTGTCCGAATTAACGACTTTTGACTGTACTCGTTTTCGAGGGCCGTAAAAAAATCGCCAAACTATTGTTGATGCCAATGCTGCCAAAAATAACTGCGGCAAGAAAGGAAGTATAATAATAAACAACTATCTAAGATTGATGTTTTAATTTAGATGAAAGGTTAATTTCATATAATACTTTATTATTATAATTTATATGAAAAAGGCTAAACATGACTGAATGGAAGCAAAAGAGTAAATAGCTATTTCAGATCATTATTATAATTTATATAGAAACTGTATTATAATTTATATAGAAAATTTATATAGTACTTTGACTGTAAAGTGATTGGCTTGCACTTAAGAAGATGCCCGACATGTCATATACTTCAGCAGCAAGGTTAATTCTGGAGATAAACTCTGGGAGTTAGTCTTGTTAAACGAGATATTGTAGTCATAATGTGCTACGGTTGCTGGTCATTCATTTGAACAATTCTTGGTACTTCTGCAGCAGCTTTGGTTACTGAAGTCTCAATTTTAAAATATAATGACTTTTTGTCCGTGCCCGTAGTTCACATTTTTTTAGCTAGTACAATTTTTCATTTTTAAAATATAGCAGTTTCTCAACGGTTACCCATCTGCACATATGCATTACTTTCCATCTTTGATTTTAAAATATAATAGTTTTTTAGTCAGGCTTGTAGTTTATGTTCCTTCAGATAAAAATTTTTGCTTTAAAACTATAGCACTCTTTCATTGCAAATATTTGCCATGCTTACAATTTTCAATCTACCATCAACTGAAAAGGAAGTTTGAGATTTTTTACAAGAAAAACATATTTCACCAAGAAAAATAATTTGTGAAAATGGGAGTAATACGCAATTAAGTCAGAAGAGAAACCATGTTGTGCTGTAGTATCGGCACCTATGAAAAGAAGAGTCTTCAGCTGAGAATTTGTTCAGTGGATCATAAATATCCTTTCTTAGGCATTGCTGAAAGCAATGAAATCATGAAACAAAAAGCACAGAGATATGGCTTGCCATCACTTGGGAGTTCTATTTAGTAAAATTCATATTCAGGCACCAAGTAGACCCTATTTCTTGTAACCGCATCATTTGCGGTTTTGCAGCTGAGGATGGTGGTTCGGTAAAACCATCGAAACTAGTCCTGTGAAAATTTTGTAAATATAACGCTGATTTTTGTTGTTTGACTTCTGAATTAGTATTTATTCGGCATGTTATTGTGTCTTAATTTGTCTCTATGTGTTAATTTTTGTTAAAAGATTTATTGTTTAATGTTTTTATGTTAAGAAATATGTATTTTTGGTTATTTATTTCTCTCTGTTTGTTATGCATTTTTGGTTATTTGCTCGTCTCTGTGTGTTGAGACAGCGGCGAAATTTTTCTGGTTAACATGATAGTTTTCACTTTGTTTTAGCTTCCTGATTTTCTTAAGTGAAAATAGATAGTTGTGAACATGGACAAAGTTAAGGCATTGCACAATGCCTAGTTTGTGCAATTTAGATTGATGTGAACAAGGACAAAGTTAAGGCATTGCGCAATGCCTAGTTTGTGCAATTATCTGCTATTTTTTTCCAAGTTAAAATACATCAATGTGTACATGGACAAAGTTAAGGCAGTGTACAATGCCTAGTTTGTGCAATTCTGTTTTTAAGTTAATATAGGTAGATGTGTGCATGGACACCAAGTTTGTATGTCTCTGACTTCTTGTTTTGGTTTAGTGTAGCAGGTGCAAGGTAGCATCATCATGAAATTGGTGCCTGTTTTTTTTTTCGGCACAAAAAAGGCAAAATACCTAAATTAAAATAAAGGTTTAAGAAGCTACTGTAAATGTAAGTTAAAATTTTGATTTTTTTTTTAAATCTTACCTACATAAATGCATGTATTTTGCATATAAAAGTGAAGTACATTATTTACTAAAATGAATTTATACTAATATGGTAAGAAAAAGTTTAAATGGTACAGCTTGAGTATAGGACCCCATTGGCAACTTTTGGCTTGGCGCACTTTTTGGACGGTTGTTTTTCTGGTAACCCAGCAAATTCTAGAATATGGCAACCCTGTTGCATTCTCACGTGTTTTAAACTGGAAAGTGTCATTTTCTTCGAAGGAGCAAAATATTGTTGTATTCAACAAATTTCTCGAAGTTGTAAGGGACATAAATTGGGCAGAGTATAGGATTTCTTTGTAAATTTACCATGATTTTGTAAACTTTACTAACTTTCCAGCATTTCTTTTATTTTTAATTTAAACATGTTTTCTGAACTTGTGTTTTCAGTTTTATAACTCAAAACTTGCACTTTCAATATTGCTGCTTAAAATATGCCTCCATCTACTTGTGTATTTTCAAACTTTACTTTTAATTTAAACATGCATTCTTAACTCCTATTTTCATATTTTTAATTTAAACATGTATTCTGAGCTCCTCTTTTCAATTTTACAGCTTGTAATTTGTATTTTCAGTATGACTGGTAAAAATATGCCGTTATTTATTTATTTTCAGTTTCACTGCTTAAATAACAGTCAATAGTCGTTAATCCAGATTTGTTGGGCTTTCGGCGATTTCAGATTATAGATCATCAGTTTAAATCTGGTAAGATGGCATGCAGAAATTATAAAATAAAAAATATGAAACCGTAATTTTATAAATATAGAAACAATTATGATCTAAAGGGAATCAAAATTTACAAAAAAAAAAAAAAAAAAAAAGCTTTATTTGTTTTACTTTTTATTAAACATTCTTTCAGTGTAATTTTAAGTTCGTTTTATGTGATAATACTTTTCTCTTTAATTCTATAAACAGCATAATTTCTTGTTCAGTTACAAAGTTCAGCTGTTCAAGTCCTATAATTGCCTGTTGAGAATACCGACTAATTTGTCAATCGAAATTTTTTTCCATTTTCAATAACCTCTTCACTATCGAAGCGAATTATAATGACGAAGAATTTGATTTAAATCATATCAAAGACGGAACATTGAGATGAAACTACATTTAGTAAGGAATTATAAGCCAAATAAAATAAAAACATCTGCCCTGAAGATAAGGATAGTGCTGACAGATCAACTTTCAATTCATTGCGCGCTGCGGCGTTCCATTTTCCGAAAAATATTTGCGAAAATGATATTTTTGAAGAATTGTCACTAGGAAAAGGATACGTTATTACTGATGAAGGAAGTCTGCAAATGTGGAAGCAGACAAAAATTGCACAGAGTTATTCCTTCATTTTAAACAGAATAGTATTCCTTATGAAAATATTTTGAAAATTGTAGAACACGCGCTCTCCAAACAAATGCAGCAACAGAACGTATTTTTTCTAGTATCAATAAAATATGGACAATGGAAGCCTAAAATATAATTTGACCAATTCATGTGAGAAATTTCACGACATTTTATTAAATGATCCGAATCTATTGCAAAGCATTCACTCGGATAAAAAATATGACCGTAAAAGAAAAACCATAATTTTTTTAATAAATTTTTATATTCATTAAATAATATTTAAATTATAGTTTTTTTTACAAATATTTTTATAGTTACCAATAGTTTATAAATATTTTTATTTTATAGACAAGTATATGAATGTCTATAATAAAATAGATGTTAAATTATCCGCCGCTTTCGTAACTAAATGATAATTCTCATTTCATTCCATTTGTCCCACTTTGTCTCAATGAAAATGTGGTCACTTTAACCTAGACAGATTTTAGCATTAGCTTGGCAAAAAATTATTCGCCGTCAAAATTGGTTGATTGGGAAGGGGGATGAAAAGAAAGGCCAAAATTTCTAAGGAAAGTAGGCATTTGGTGGAGATGGCAAGTTCTTAAATGCTTGCAAACATAATTAATATATATTATAAAAAAAAGTAAGTGCACAATGTGTGTGCAACTAAAACCCAGGGTACTTTTCTGTTTCGCCGGCGCAAATCTCGCCAAGCAGACTTTATTGGCGACCCATACATTATACACACAAAAAAATATTAAAAAAATTGTTAGTCCTAAGAATTCTTTTTTGAAGGCATAAACATTTTAATATCGCTTAAATTTTATAAAAAACCAATAAATAAAGAATAATTTAAGATTTACTAGTTTCATGGTTCAAATCCTATTCGCGTTCATATCACGTGACTCAAGCGATCTCATCCACGTTATACTCTATAAAAAAAATGCTCAGTAATTATTACATTAATTTCAAGTTAAATCTTAATTGGAAAAAGTTTAAAGCAGAAATACTTCAATTCGTACGAATAGCTTACTCAAAATTATGTAAAACTCGTGCGTAAATTGTATTTAGTGCTGAAATTGTACTTGTAAATATTTGCTGCAGTGCTGTATATGTCAAACTGCAGCGATGTAATTCGTAATGCATTCTCATTAGAATGATGAATTTAACCCTTGACTTACCTTTCTATATTTTCGACTTCGGGTAAGCGCTGTGATTGCATCGAATTGATTTATTGCGAAAAGGCTTAGACATAAATGAACTATCTGTGAGGCGTAAAGGTACCAGCGAGAATAGCCGTTGGCATAGGTTGTACCATTATTGGCGACTTTATCGCTTGCGCCAGCAAAATGGAAAAGTACCAAACCCAGAAACAAGTCCCAGCATAGAGTTAGCTGTATTTACCTGAAGGGCATGCTTTTTGAAGATATAAGGGAAGTTTTACCCTCTAGAAAATTCTAGAATAATTCAGAGACAAAATTCTCATTACTAACCTCCACAATATGAAACTTCAATGGGATATTTTACTCCAGGAATGGGACCAGAGGGCAAACCTTCTTGAACATCAACATTCGTTGGGGTAGGTAAATCACCAGCCATCTTGTCACTTTTATATATCTAACGATAAAGCAGAAATTAGTTTATAAAAAGAATTGTTGATCGCAAAATGATCAATTATTAAATTTATTACACTGATGAATAATGAAAAGACTCTGTATACACTTTTTTTATGGATAAAATTTTTCAAATTGTCTCTGAAAGCATTATTTTGGTTAGAGTAGATTGACGAGTACCCCTTGTATTATCTTAAAGTTGTTGTTTCATTTATCACCAAGCTGTTGTACATGGATACTGAGTTTGTGCAATAAAAATTGCCACTACACAAAGCCAAAATAACAAGTCAAAGAATTGCACAAACTCGGTATCCATGTACCACCAAAAATCACCAAGGGATACCTGTAAATATACTTTTACCATTATTTTAAATTAAAACTTGGAGAGAAGGAGGAATTCCTGCTTTGAATAAATTAAGGACATGCAATGTAACATTAAAGTAAGAAATATCATAATGTACATAAAAAAATTAATCATTTTTTAAATGTGGCAATAACGTAAGTCAAAAGATGCCATAATATATTTCATAAGATAGAAGAAATTTCATATGATCTACCTACACTTATATTAAAAATCCTGTAAAAAATATCACCTTTTTTATGATGAAATGAGATCTACAGAATAAATTTCAACTTATAATACCATTAATGAAGTTTTATTACCAAAATCCGTCTTTTATATAAAATAATTTTAATGACACAAAAGCTGATTTGAAATATTTTTAAACAATCTTTTTACATAAAGGATGCAAAATACAAAACTACACGGCATTAGGTAAAACATAACACAGTTGTTAATATTTAAAGGGTAATAAAATGAGAACGGTCTTTATAGTACTACTAAGATAAGCCACCGTTATGTAAAAAATATTTTGTAACCATTTAATTTTTTAAATTCACATATTTGAAAAGGCACACACTAAAAGTCAACATTTACAGAAAATATACACATAGATGAGCCTTTTTTTAAATCATGTTACACAGAAATAATTTTATATTCAGTCTAAAAGCATAATAATAACTATGTTCACATAGCACTCCTTAAACAAACTAAAAATTTTATAAAGGCATAAGTTGAAATTAACTGAATTATGATTTGTATATGTAAGTATATGGCAATTACATATATTCAGCGGCATTTTGGTAGTCAAAAAAGTAAAATTCCTTCTCGGGTCGATTCTCAGATAAGAAATAATCATTCAAAGATTTATGGGATAAAAAAATGAAGGTGTGGCATGAGGGATTAGAAAACACCTTAGGAATTAAATAACATATTAAATATAAAAACAGAAAGGTCTCCACCTGCAAATTATAAATAAATTAAAAGTGTATAGGGCAGTCGATATAAATAATTTACGTCTTTTTCAGTAATTTCTTCAATATCAAATGATACCGGCATATTCATAGAATAAGGAGCACAAGCTGAAATACCATGATTTATACCTTTTTAAAAGAGTAAATTTCAAACAATATTAAAAAATAACAATAATTTAATAGATTTAAATTTAATAACATATTTCAAAGGTAATGACAAACTAATATAATTACAGATTATTTATGTATATGCTAATATTTAGAGTGCATATAATTCTTTATTGCAAAGCTAAGTATCAATAAATCCTCGATTTCTCTTAATTTTTTATCACACTGCGTAATTTAATACCACAGCATATTATTTTTACAACTTTGATTCACCTGCCAAAATCAACGCATGCAATTCTGCCCGAAGTATGGTTTTTCACTAGCGTCTACGGAGAGAAGGCAACTTTTGGGAT